TTCTTATGCTGGGCCTTCATGGTTTCTATTATGTTCCTGAGCTCATCTATTTTTTGTCAGTTTCTGTTCTGGAGTCTTGAATCATGTCTTTCATTTTGCTCACCATCTCTATGGTTATCTGGGAAATAATTTCTGTTTTGAATTTTTCTAGAGCTTGATTGATCAGTTTTGTTACTTCCTGTCCTGTGAGTTCTGAGTGTCCTGGAGGTTCACTATCAGACTTTTCGTCCTCCTTTGCCCTACTGTTTGCCATTGGTGGACTGGAAGTCTGTTTTTGTGGCTTTCTTAAGTGTTTTCTCATCTTTATTTTTGCTGTTGGGTTGTCCTTGATTCAATCTCTGGGTCATTCAATCTTCCTGATATCATTTTGTCCCAGCCTTTGATTCTCTAATGACTTATAGACATTCTCATTTTCATAGTTGAGACAACAACTCATCTAATCAATCCCTGTCCTTTATCCCAATTGATACAGTTAGGAACACAATAGGATCAATTACCACCCTTTATAGCCAGCCATCCCTCTGCAGAGTACATCCAAGGACTGGCACAATCAGGGGATCTGAGAGCCGGGGGTGGGTTGGTGGTGCTCAGTGGCACCCACATGGCTACCCTCCTGTGCTGGGTCCAGAGCAATCAATGGCACCTGCAGGAAAAGGAGCGGCCCAGTTGGTGGAGGGAGATCTGAAGTCCAAGCCAGCCACTTTCCCAAAACTCGCCCTCCTGGCACTGGGTCCGGAGCAATCAATGGTGCCCACAGGGAAAGGCCTGGTTATGTGGGCCCATAGATTGGTCCAGTAGGTGGAGGGAGATCTGAAGTCCAAGTCAGCCAGTTTCCCAAAACTCACCCTCCTGGCGCTGGGTCTGGGGAAGGAGCTTCTACTGACTATGGAATCTGACAGTTACTTTTTCAAACCATCGTTGGAGAAATGGTAAAAATGGATCAGCAACTTTCCAATACTGTGTGGGAGTGGTTCTTTCATGATGGCTGCTTTCCCAACAGAATCCAGGAAACTGTTAATGGAGAAGGATGCCGAGAGAGTTGGTAGCTGGATCATTGTTATTCCTTTTTACTCATTTATTTATTCAGCATTTCACAATCCTTTCTTGAACACCTTTTACCCTTATAAGGGTATGGTAGCTATGGGAGGACAAAGGCACATTGGAGGAAATAAGACAAGAAATTAGAGTGCAATACAAAAGAGTATTTACATGGAGCAACCACTTGTCAAATTGACACCAAGCCCAGAGTAAGGAACTGTGAATTTTACTTGTGATAGTAAAATATAGATCATAGATTAGAGATGATGGCAGGAGAATAAATCGCTGTTTTTTTGGAAATGAATGGGCAATGGCATGGGTTAATTTCTTTTATTTTTAATTTCTATTTCATTTCTTAAGGCTATTATTATTCATGGGGAGCTGCGGCCAACAAGAGGAAACTTATTCAATGTCACATTCCTCTCCTTCATATAGAGTTTTTAGACAATATTTACAATGTGTGACCAGAAAATATGATGAATGTTTAAATTTTCAAAATTCATTGCAGTAAAAGCTGCGTTACTATTAATCCCCTCAAAACCTTCCTCCTCGCTTATTACATTTATCCCATCGTTCTTGCCGCTTCCTTCAGCAGTTCTGGAAGTCTTCCTTTTTATTTTTTTGAGACAAGGTCACATTAGGTAACTCAGGCTGGCCTAAACTCTTGGCAATCCTCCTGCCTCAGCCCCTCAAGTCTTTGGATTACAAGCATGGCCACCACACCCAGGTGGAAGTCTTCTTTCCTTAGTGTCTTTAGTTTTGCTGTTATGGCTGCCTGGATGTCCTGAATTACTATAAAACTTTTACCTTTCGTGGTCATTTTGACTTTGGAGAAGAGCCAAAATTTGCACAGTGCCACATCCAGGGAATGAGGTGGATGAGGACACAGCATGGTGTTGTCCTGAACCTGCCTCTCTGTTGAATGGCGCTTGGCAGCAGCACTAACTACATTGTCGATTGTACCTCCTAAACACACTCAGAAAGAGGTCTTCCAGAGCTGCTTCAGAGCATGGCAAGAATATCAGGACATGTATATTTGAAGTGAAGGGGAAAATTTTAAGGGGGATTAATGATAATGATTCTTTTATTATAATAATTATTTTTCCAGTATGGAGAATTGAACTCAGGACATTGCCCTTGCCAGGCAGGCATGGCACTGCTAAATTAAATCCCATGCCCTATTATAATAAATGTTTAAAATGTAAATATTCACTATATATTCCAGTCATACCTCATATATTTCATTGCTTGCCCTCAGATCTACCAGTTATATATTTCTAGAAATAAAGCACCCGACATTTCCTGGCTTAAGCCAGACACTGTCAGCCTTGCTCAGGAGTCTGTACTTATGCAGAACTGGGGGTGTCAGCAGGTGGCTGGACAGGGAGGACCTGCTTCACAGTGGCTGCAAGCAAGTAACAACTGTGGGCCAGGAGCTCAGTTGGGCAACCATCTAGCACTTGGTTCCTCTCCATGTGGGCTTCTTGATGGCTGCTGAATTCTGAGACCAGGCATCCTAAGGGACAGGAAACAGAAGGTGCTAGTTTCATAAGGCCTGGCCCAGACAGGGGCCCAGAGTTGCTTCTCCCAAGTTCTGTAGCTGAGAACTCACGAAGTCCAGATTCAAGCAGACAGGATATAGGTGCATGATCAGATGAAAAGGGGTGTCAAAGAATGGGGGAGGGGACACATTTCAAATTGCAATACCAGCTCTCTTCTCTTTGCGTGGCTGGTAATTCCACATAGCCTGTTAGGGAAATCTAGTGCAAAGGCATTTTAAAAACTCAGATATAAACATATGTCATATATCTAAATTCAGCTCTGTAAAGTGACTTTCAGGTCAAATGAGTGGTTTTGGGGAAGGATCAGAGAAAGATAGAAAATACAGTAAATGAAAGAGAAAAGAGAAAGTAAGTCATAAGTAGTATCAGAGATTAAACATTGAGACCAAGACTGAAAATGTGACATAGTAAAAATAATTATCTGTACTTGTCCTATTTCTCTCTTCCTGATGTGTGTTCATCAAATTTAAGAACTTGGTACATAAAGACATGTGTATGATAAAGATAACATTATAAATTCCTGGAGCAAAGACAAGACTTTTTAATAAAATTTTTAAACTGATTAGTCATCTGGAAAAAAAAAATCTCACACAATGTAGAGTAATAGACTCCACATGGATCAGGGATCTCAATGTAAAAAAATGAAAACATGGAAGTACTAGAAGAAAACATTGTTAACTTCCTCATTAATCTTGGTAAAGAAAAAAGGCTTTTAAGCATTGACTCAAAATCCAAAGGCAATAAAAAAGTCATACATTTGAGTACATAAGTTTTTTAATCACATGGCAAAAACAAAGACTCCATAAATAAAGACAGCTGACAAGACAGGAAAAAAGATTTGTAACATATGTTGCAAAGGGTTACTATACCTAATTTATAAATCACTGAGGTAAAAAAATAACAAATTATATAAAGATATTAAAAAGACAATTTGCACACAAAAATAAGATTTAAAATAGTCTACAAAATGAAAAAACGTTCAAACTCAAAAGTAGAAAAATGCAAATTAAACTGTGGGGAAAACAGGGAGGGGAATGAGAACTTAACAGACCCATTAGGTTTAACACTAAACCAGAAAGGGACCTCTAGGTGCGAGTGGAAACAATGTCAATTTACCATTTTTCATTTATCAAATTGGCAAAAATTTAAAACTATAAAAAGCATTGTGTTGCTGGTGAGAGGGAAAAATAGATACTTTTGCATACTTTTAGTGGAAATGCAACTAGTGTGATCTTTCTGGAGAACTAGATTTTTTACTGCCTGAGAATGAAGTTACAAATAAGCCCACGAAGGAGGCTAGAATTAACCCTTGTGGTGTTGAACTGGTACTAGAGCTCTCAGTATGAAGTCATGATTCAGAGAGACACTTAGGTAGAGATGCATGTATGCAAATGCATGGGACTATCTTAGCTGTACTGAAGGGCTGAAAAGCAAGAGTAAGCCTAGCAGATCTCAGTCTCCAAATGTCATTCCCCAGTAAAAGGAATCAGGGATCCTTGGGGAAGAGACCAGTTGTGGTCTGGAGCAGGATAATGAAAGATGAACCTGGAGGATCTTGTGATGCCGGAGTACAGGAAGTACACGGCGGACACTTTGAAGGACATGGACTCTAAATACTCAGACTGGACAATTGTAGCAGTAAAAGAAACAATAATAACAGCACTGAGATTCCACCTCACCCCAGAAAGAACGGCTGCTATCAAGAAATCAACCAATAGCAAATGTTGACGGGGCTGTGGGCAGAAAGGAACCCTTCTCCATTGTTGGTGGGAGTACCATGGAGTGGTGGGGAGCTGCAGATCCAGCTTGGAGGACCAGCTGCCAGCCGGCCAGGTTGCCGGCTCCTCTGGAACCCTCAGAAACGTCTCGATGGAGGGGAATCCAAGCAGTGGCTGGGTGCTTAGAGCTGGGACCCAAGGTTACTGCTGTGGTACAGAAGCTCAAGAAGACATACATCTGTGAACGCTTAACAACATAGTGACAGGTAGGTTATGTCCTGTGCACATCTGTATTACTATTTTTCAGTTGAAAACTTGTCTGTGTAGTTGAAAAAGTACAAATGAAAGTAGCGCTGCTATTGACTCGATTACAACAAAAATATTAAGTGAAACTGGGTCAGTTTATTTGTTTTTAAACTTCAAAGTCTATGTTTTATTCTCAGTTAAATCTGAAAGAACCACCCATTTTATTTCTTCATGGTTCTTTTCATCAATGTGTTTTGTCAGTCAATGGTTTCTCTAGGGCCCGTCCAAACTACATAGTAAGACCCTGTCTTAAAAATAAACAAACAAACAAAAAACAAAAAGAATATGAAAAGAAATGAATTCTGAGTTTTTATTTTTTGAGACAGGGTCTCCCTATATAGTTCAGACCAGCCTTGAACTCACTATGTAGCCCAAACTGGCCTCGAAACTCAAGATGATCCTCCAGCCTCAGCCTCCTAAATTCTGGGATTATAGGTGTAAACCACCCCACCCAGCTCTATCTTTATAAAGTGCAGAAGAGAGAAAAACTAGTAAAAGCTGAAAAAATGAAAAAAACATTTTAAACCAGGAAGTTTAAGCTTAGGCCAGGAAGGACACAGGGTGGAGATCCTCCAGGGTGAGGACATTGCCTATGTGGCTTTCAGGGGACCTGGGTATGAAAGAGCTGGCATTACATCCAGTGTTTAGGTCAGCTAGCATTGTATTAGTGTCTTTTGTAAACTCACTGATCATTTTGTTTAATCTCCTTATCATTTTGAATAATTCAGAAGTTTGGGGTTTTTTTTCTCCCCTGTGGATCAGCTTTGGGAGGATCTGGAAGTGCTTGGAGGCATTTTGTTGCCTTGTCTTCTTGTTTCTTGCCTTGTTTCTGTGGTGGGGGGGATGATTTCTTCATTGATTGTGCCCAAAGCAGGCTGTAGGCAGGCTTTAAAGAATTAACCCTGTGATTGGCTTGTTTAAAGAAGTGAGTCCAACTGAAGACTGCATGACTCAATGCATCGTTGTGGATGGCTTGTGGGTCAATGTCACCCCCCTTGCCCACAGCCATGGCAGAGGCCAGAGTGACACCCTGTGAAGCTGTGGGGCTCAAGGTGAGGTAACATAGCAGCTGAGCTTGGGGTGACTCACAGCCAAATTCCATTCCGCAAATTAAAACTTTCTTTACTAAAAAGACAAGGTTGATTATTAACCACAACCTCTATTTTTTCTGTTCTGTTCCGAATTCAAGAATACTTTGTCTCTTCCTTTTTAAGCCTTGCCTACATCAGCAACATACCCATAGCAACTCCATGCAGCCCCTTTACCTCAGTCTTGACTATGATGTCACCAACGAATATCAGCAGTTTTGGTTGGTTTGCTGCTTGCTCAGCACTGGCCATTCTGGCTCTCCATTTCTCTCTTTAACTCTGCCTCTGCCTCTGATTCTTTCTTCTAGCCATGCATCACAGCACACAGCAGTAGGTCTGGACCTGCTGCAGAGGTCCTTGTTATGTGTGTGTGTGTGAGACATTTTTACTGGGTTTATAGAAAACTGATAAACAGAAAGCTCACATTTGGGGACTAACAAATCTTTCTGGTCAAGAACATGGAGCCATCTTCCCATTTCCTTTGCCTTGTAAGGTTCCTCAGTAAAGAACATACATGTACAGGTGAAAAATGATAGAAAATGGATACTAGATTTTATTAGAATAAGTTTTAGCCCTGAATTTTTGACCCCCCTCCCATACCCCTAGCCCTGAATTTGATACATCATGGGAAATATTGTGATGGCCAACCCGACTCCATCTTGTGCCTCAGTGTCACTTGGTACCTGTGCTCGAACAAAGTGCTTGCCTTTGAACAAAGCACCCCAACACCCCACATCCTGCTTGGCAGTAAACTCGCTGCAGTTGTAGGATGTTTCGTAGCTCACCTAGTGCGTGTGAAACTTCCTTGTGCTCCCCACTAACCTGGCATGGTTCTGCTTCTGTAAGATTCTGCTTGCTCTCTGCTGAGCCCACCCCAACTGAAAGCATGATTTAAAAGGAGAAATCAAACTGCTTCCTGTTGCCAAGAGAACTTTCTGGGCACCAGCCCCTCCTCAACTGCTGGCTTTAATAAATGGGCTCAAATCTGGCACAGAGTGTGGGCCATCTCTATTGTTCTAACTCCCTCATCCGTAACGATATTTCATAGTGCACTTTTTTACAGTGAACATAACAGTTCTCATTGTGATAAATAAAACACACATTTATTACCACAGTGAAATCGCTTTTAAGTAGTCAATAAAATGATCTATAACTGATTGAAAGTTGTTTTTATTTTGCTGCTCATTAATATTTTGCTGCCTTGGGATAGAGCCCCCTCAAAGATTCCCACCGATGCCTCTTCCCCTCCGCATCTGCTCCGGCCCTCTTAACCCTCAGACTGGTTGCTGCTCCTGCACTGTCCTGGGCCCGCCTGCAGCCCCTCCCCAGCAGCCCTATTACCTGTACTTCTTCTTGTCTCTGTCACTGATGTTTTTCCCCAGAAGGAGAAGATGCTACACTCTGGCCGTGTCGCCCGTGCTGGCAGCCTTGTAGAGACTGCCCACGGTCCTGGGGTGGAAGCTGTGCTGCGGACCCGAAAGTGCCCTTCAAGCCTGCAGGGCCAAGAGCGCCTGGCCCCTACTGATGAGGCCCAAGATCCACCTTACAGCTAAGGCTACTGGAACCCGAGCAACCGCCCTCCCCTTCAGCCTTTCTCTGCCTCTGAAGTTAAAACAGCCCAGCCTGCTGCTGAGTCCCAACCTTCCCAACCTTCCCACCCGTCCCAACTGTCCCAGCCGCTAGTTTCCGCTGCCAGCTTCCAACTGGGTGGAATCTCCAACCCCCAGCGACGCGACTAACCGCCCCTGCTCATGGCTCCGCAGGCGCATGCTCACCAGGCCTTCTCAGTAGCAGGTGCGCCTGTGCAGTGGGGCCTGCAGGATGCTGCGCTCCGAAGCGGTGTGAGCAGTCCTGGGGCCTGACAGCACCCGGGGCCACTGACCAAGGCAGAGTGCTGAAGACCATGGAGATCATCCTTGTGGCAGGACAAGGAACCACGTACGGTGCTTCAAGGTGACAGGCATCGTGGTGAGACGCTGCCTGCTTCAGCCTTCTCCTGAAAAGTAGGCCTCTTGGGTTCTTGGGCTTTCGCTCTGTGTGTGTGTGTGTGTGTGTGTGTGTGTGCGCGCGCGCGCACGCAGGACACAGATTTGGAAGGCCTGAGGCAGTCAGTCCTAAGTTGTGGTTGCAGAAGGGAGCGGAGGGACCTCCCGAACTCCTGGTTAATGTTTTGGCAGCTTCGGAATCGTTTGTGCGCCATCACGCCCGGCAGAAGAGAGGTCCTGCTTGAGGCCCCTTGACTGGGCTTCCTTGATCCACAGGATTTTCCTCAGGGTCTCTCTGGGCTGCTCACCCCCACAGCCTCGCACACCCCAATCTGTGCATAGTTGCACCAGCATCACCCACCTCACAGCCCCCGAGGAAGGGCCCTGTGTTGCAGGGGCCCAGTTTCGAGGAGGATGAGTTGGAGCGAGACCTGGCTCTGCCTTCTTGCAGTTGCGCAGCCTGGCTAAGTCTCCTCATATCTCTGGGGGCCTCCGCAGTGTCCCCACCTGCATGGAGAGGTCGTTCTGGCATCTGCTCCTTAGGATGTCATCACTTGTGAAGCCTATAATGTCCGTGGGCTGGCATCACATGTAGCCGGTGTGCAGATTTCAAGATGGGAGAAAAACAAAATGGTGAACGTCAGCATAGGACACAAATGGGATTCGCTTAGCAGAAAAGCCAAAGGGTTTGCAAACTGTTCCAAAAACAAGACAAAAGAATAAACGTATCTATTAAGAAACACTGCCAAAAAGTGGCAAGGAGAAAGAGGAGCAGAACAGCCTGGAAAGAGGCAAAGCCATGCCCTTGGGAAACCTGGGAAAGTGGCCACAAATAGCCAGTTGGGAAAGAAATCACATAACAAGCGTGGGTGGAAAGAACAGATTCTCCTAGGAAGCGGTGGGTCCAGAGGTCTCTGGGCACCCACCGGGGACTGATGTCTCTCCAGACTTCAGTAGGCCGAGGGTTTGTTCTTTGAGGAAGCATGCAGGTCTGGTCATCTTGTCTTTAACGTGAGGCCCAGTTTCTGACTATCTCCAGCTGCAGTGGTGGTATATTTCACCTTTGTCCTGACTCTTGAGGGCCTAGCCCTATCTGATTGTCTATAATATTCGATTTAACTCAGCTGTCTGTAATACTCTGGCTGCTCCCTTAAAGTTCATCAATTTCCTCCTACAGGGAAATAGCAGTTGTTTTCAGCATCTAGGGATCATGGTGCCAAGGAGGCTGGGAGGAGAGGGAGGGCATGTCCCCCATGTGGTCCCCTCCAAGCTCCCACCCCCTAACCCCGCCCCTTAACCAGCTCTGGTCCCAAGTGCACTTCAGTCTCCAGGTGTGCTCTACAGGTAGTTCATGGCATGGACACCTGGGTGCCCAGGTGTGCTCTACAGGTAAGTGCTGCCATGGGCGCTCCTATGCTCAGGTGTGCCAGCATTTGTTATTATGTGATTCCTTAGTGGTAGCCAGTCTTTTGCAAGTAAGATGGAAACTCGCTGTTGTTTTAGTTTGCATTTTCTCTAATGGTCAAAGATGAACAGGTTTTCACGTACTTAATGAACATTTGCACTTTTTCTTCTGAGAAGTGTCTGTTAATTTCAGTTGCCCCTTGTTTGACTGGGTCTTTTTATTTTGAGAGGTCTCATTGTTTTTAGTTCTTCATATATTCTAGATGTTAGTCCTTTGTCTGAGGAATAGCTGGCAACTTTTCCCCATTGCGTAGGTCCTTTCCTTAGTCTGTTGGTAGTTTCCTGTGCTAGTCGGGGGCTTTCAAAAGTACTACAATTCCATTTGTTAATTCTTGGTATTATTTAGTGTATTATAGGGTTTCTGTTTAGAAGGTCCTTGCCTATATTTATGCCTCAAGAGTTGTGCCTTCTGGCACATTGTTTCTGTTTTAACATTTAGATATTTGATCTATTTGATTTGTATTTTAGTTTAGTACATGTTGAGAGACATGGGTCTCGCATCAATACGCTGCATGTGGATGGCCAGTTTTTCCAGCAACATTTGTTAAAGAGGCCATCTTTCCTTCAGTGTACGTATTTGGTGCATTGTCAAAGATCAGGTAGCTGAATGTGCCTGGAGCTGTTTCTGCATCCTCTATTCTGTTCCATTGATCCACATGTCCTTTTTTTTTTTGCCAAAACCAAGTTTGTTTGTTTGGTTTTTTAATCACTGTAACTTTGTAGTATAACTTGAAATGCAGGCTTTTGATGTCTCCTGCCTTCTTCATGTTGTCCAGGATTTCTTTTGCTATTGTGGTTCTCTTCTAGTTTGATATGAATTTAGGATTGTTTTCGCTAGTTCTGGGAGGAATGCCATTGCTAATTTGATTGGGATCGCATTAAACCTGTGTAACAGCTTTAGCAGTACGGCCAATTTGACAATACTGGTTCTGCCTATACAGGAACAGGGGATATCTTTCCCTTTTATGATGTCCTTTTCGATCTCCTTTTTTTCAGTTTTCATTGCAGAGGGTCATTCACTTCTTTCATTAGGTTGATTCCTTATATTTAATTTTTCATGCTGCTGTTGTGAAATGTATTTTTCCCTGACTTCTTTCTTGGTAAGTTTATTATTCATGTATAGGAGCACTCTTGATATTGTATCCTGCTACGCTACTGCATTTGTTTTTAATTTTAGGAGTCTTTTGGTGGAATTTTTTAAAACACCTCCTGTTTTTATTCTACAAAAGCATAATCACTAGTCCTGAATTTAAATTAGGGTGCATACTGTAATATCTTTACCAAGCAAAAAAAACATACTGATTCAGTACAGCTGCCTCTACATTTTAAAAATAAAATTTATTGGGTGAAGGGAGGGCAGGGACAAGGGGAAAAAAATGAGAACCAAGACCTGTCAGGTAAAGGTACAAGATCCCAGTAATGAACGTAACTGTACTGTATCCCTAAAATGTACCGATAAACTCAATGAGAAAAAACTGTAAAAATAAAAATAAAAATAATTTTATTTTATCCCATCCCCCCAAACCCCCTCTCCTCCTTATGCACAAAGTCTCGCTCTGTTTCCGTTTCTTCCTTTTGTTTTCACTTTTTTTGGTCCCTCCCTTCCTTTCTCCCTCTCACCTCCCTTTCCCCTTCCCATTCGAACACTTTCTTCCCAGTTTGGTGGGCTTTTCTGAATCTTCTATGTAGATGATCATCTACAACTAATGATAATTTGACCTCTCCCTTTCCTATACATATTATTTTATTTCTTTCTCTTTCCCGAGTGCTCTGGCTAATGTTTCAAGAACTCTAGTGGACAGGAGTGGTGATAGTGGGCATCCTTATCTTGCTCCTAGTTTAAAGGTAAAGCTTTCTGCTTCTTCCCATTTATTATGATGTTGGTTGTTGGTTTGTCTTAAATAGCTTGTGTCAATTTGAGATGAGGTCCTTCTATACCTATTTCCTTCGGTGTTTCTTAATACCACAAATGGACAATAGTTTTTGTTAAGTGCTTTTTCTGGATCAATTGAGATGATCATGTGATTTGTGTCCTTATTTTTGTTTATGTGATATATTATATTTATTGGTTTGCATATGTTGAACAATCCCTGTATCCCTGGAATGAGTCTTACTTGTTCACGATATATATTTTGATAAATTCTTGCATTCTGTTTGCCAGTATTTTGTTGAGGAATTTGTGTCAATGTTCGTTAAAGAGATTGGCTTGTAAGTCTGTTTTTAGATTGGGGCAATTTTTGATTTGGAATCATAGTCATGCCAGATTCAAGGAATGTCCTTGGGGTATTCCTTCCCATTTGTTTTTATTAAGAGTTTGAGGAGTATTGTCATTAGATCATTCCTAAAATTTTTGGAGAAGTTGGCAGGGAATGCATTGAGAACTGTGCTTTCTTCCTGATTTTTTTTTAAATTATTTCATCAGTTTTATTGTCTGATATTGGATGATTCAGGATTTTTATATATACTTGGTTCAGCTTTGGTAGTTCATACATATTTAGGCATCTATTTCTTTGGAATTCTCCATTTTATAATGGCCTTCTAGATTTCAGCAGAGTCTGTTACGATTTTGCCTTTTTCACTTCTAATTGCAGTAGTTTGGGTCTTTGTTTTCCTCTTTTTGGTAAGACTGGCTAGATGTTTATCAATTGTATTTATTCTTTTAAAGAACCAGCTACTTGATTCATTGATTCTTTGTGGGTTTTTTTAGTGTCAATTTCATTAATTTCTGCTTTTTCTTCCCGGTACTGCCTTTGGATTTGGATTATTCTTTTTCTAGGAACATGAGGCACATTATTAGATTTTTTATTTGGACTCACTCTGTGTTTCTGATGTGAGCATTCACAGCTATAATCTTCTCTTATGACCGGCTTTCATTGTGTCCCATAGATTCTGGTATGTTCTACTGGCTTTATTGTTGATACTATGAACTAATTTCTTTCTTCATTTCTTCTGTAATGCATTGATTATTCAAGAGGGTATTTTTTAGTTTTCGTGTGTTTAAATAATTTCTGTTATGTCATTTGTCATTGATATCCAGTTTCATCACAGCATGATCTGCAAATGTACATGGTATAATTTTGATTCTTTCACATTTACTTAATCATGCTTTATGGGAAATCATGTGATCTATTTTGGAGAAAGTTCCAGGTGCTGCCAAGAAGAATGTGTGTTTTGTGGTTGTTGGGTAGAACACTGTTGATTTTTTTTTTTCTTTTTTTCTCATTGAGTTTATTGGTTACATTTTAGTTATACAGTACAGTTACATTCATCATTGGGATCTTGTACCTTTACATGACAGGGCTTAGTTCTCATTTTTTCCCCATACCTCTGCCCTCCCAGATCAATCCTTTTTGAACTGGGTTGTTTGATTTCTAATTGTTGACTTTTAAGAGTTCTTTGAATATTTTGGATACAACTTTTTCAGGTGTGCATTTTATAAGTATTTTCTCCCAACAATGAATGTAACTGTACTGTATCCCTAAAATGTACCAATAAACTCAAGTAAGGCTGAAAAAAATGAAAAACTATGAAAAACATGTTAAGACTAGAAAAAG